AAAAGCCCAAAGCCCGACGGTGACTGTGTTCGCCGGTGACTATGAGCTGCGATTTTAACAGTGAAAAGTGTGTCAGTTCGCGTCTGTGTGTGTGTGTGTGTGTGAGAGAGAGAGAGAGAGAGAGAGAGAGAGAGAGGACTCACCGTCGGAGTTGTTGCGCCGGTGAATGTTCGCCGCCTCGCCGGTTGTGTGGCTACTTGAGAGTGTGAGGACTGAGGAGGATGTGAAGACTGAAGAGAAGAGAGGTTCGGCTAAGGGGAAAGAGGTGAAAGAGAACAGAGGTTCGGCTTAGGGAGTTAGGGTTTTTTAAGTTTAGTCTATAGGTCGGGCCTGGCCGGGCTATTTTGGCAAATCCCGAGCCCGGCTCGAATTTATTGTGGGTCGGGATTTTTGGTCCGGGGTTAAGCCCGCGGGCTCATTTGCGTGTTCAAGCCTGTCCGGGGGCCGGGCCGGGCTGGTCTGTCGGGCCACCTGGCCCATGAACAGGTCTAGTAAGAGTAAAGAACAAGGAGGCTTGGAATTAGGTAATATGGGGAAGAAGAATTAGGCACTATTGGGTAAGTGGTTGTGGAGATGGCTAAGGGCATGATGTGGTTGAAAGCATACATGGCAAGTAGGCAACAGGTGCGATGCTTGTCTGTTATCTTCACTCTGGAAACACAATTAGACTATTACAGTTGCTTTGTTCATAATAGTGAATAAATTGTGGCCCCTTCAACTAGATATCAAGAATGCCTTCTTACATGGTAAGTTGAAGGAGGCATATATGGTTACTCTTATTGGGTTTAGTCTTCCAAGATGGGAAGTAAAACTTGAAAGCTAAATAATGCAATATATGTAGAATTAATATCTTTTGGGGTATAATGAGTGTAAGAACTAAGAGTGGAGAACCATCAAGCCGAATGAAAAGAATGGTTGTTGGGCATGGATACTCATTGAGAAAGAGCAGAATTGTGGAATTTTTTAATCTCTTATTCTAGTTAAGCCTGCATTTTCACGCTTGATGGTGGTGAGGACTCCGGGGGAAGGGATTACCTATGAAGGAGGTTATTATGGAATCATTAGAAGGTACTTTTGATCGTCTCAGGTTGCTGGAAAGGAGTTTGGTGGGTCAATTTGTCAATTTCGATCCTGATGTGGAAGCTATGGGGGGTTGGGTGTTTCTGGATGGCATCCAAAGGGTTCTTTCCAAATTAGAAAGTTGATGCTGGTTTTTTTCCTTTTTACCTTCGGCAATGTGGAGGAAGCGAGAGATATTTTGAATCATGAAATGGGACAGATGCGCTTCCAAGATCTCAGGATCAGCAGTTGGAACCCATTAGTCTGTGTGATTAGAGATATGGGCCCCTCAAGCTTGGTGTGGTTGAACATTTGAGGAATTCCTTTGCATGCTTGGTGCTTTGAAACATTTAAAGCCATGGGAGATACATGTGGAAGGTTTGAGTTTGTGGATTCAAGAATAAGCTCGAAATCTTGTTGCTACTCGTATCTTAGTGGAGCTCTTAGAAATTCATTTGGTGGCTACGTCATTATCTCTGCCCTTTTCTGGAGAGTATTTTGATCTCAGGATTGTTGTTGAGGGATCCTATCCACTTAGGTGGGTTAGTAATCTGGCTTGGTGTAGGGAGGATAGAAGCAGGTGCTCCTTATGTGGGTTAATAATCTAGCTTCAGAGGAAAAGACCAAAGTGGTGCTTGTCTCCAAACTGGTGCTCCTTATGTAAGCTGAATGGTGAGACTGTTTTTCACCTCTTTATCTCCTGTCCTTTTGCTAACTCAATTTGGGAGTGGTTTTCCTCTCTGTTTGGTTGCAGCTGGAATCCTCCTGCTAATCTGGAAGATCTTTTTAGCTCCAACATATTCAGGTGCTCTAAAAGGATAGGCAAAGTGATGAGAACATGCACTAGAACAGCAGTGGCTTGGATAATCTGAGAGGAAAGAAACCTGAGGATATTTGATGATAAGGAAAGAGGTAGAGATGCTGTGATTAAAGTGATAGCTATAAGGGTGGCACATCGGGTGAAAACTTTGAAAATCATTGCAGATTTAAAGACAGAAGATTTCTTCCGATCATGGGAAACAATTGCAAATATTGCTTCTAGAAGACCTATTGTAACTGAATTTTGGTCCCCTCTGGATGTTGGGTGGGAGAAACTAAACTTTGATGGTAGCTGTTTGGGAAACCCTGGCCCATTGGGTATTTGTGGGGTAATAAGGGAGGAGAATGGAAATATCATTGACATGTTCTCAGGCCCTATCCAGCATAGTTATGTGGTAAATTCAGAATTGAAGGCAGCAGTGTTTGTTGTTGAGAAAGCTAAAGAGTTGGGGATTAACAGGTTGGTTATTGAAGGGGATTCAAAAGTTGTTGAACTGGCTGAAAAAAGAGGAGAGCAATCTGGAGATTAAGAAATGAGTTCAGGCGCTTTAAGCAGGCTTCTAAAGATATGGAAATTCACATAAGATGGATTAGGAGGTCAGCTAATAGCATAGATGATGGTCTAGCTAAGCAAGGAGTCCAAAGGCAATATATGTTCTGGGCTATATTATAGCTAGTGGGATACCCTTTGGGTCCTTTGGGGCTTGTCTGTAACTAATGAATTTCTTTGCTGGGTTAAGCTTGGGTTTGTATTGTAATTAGTGGGGCTTATGTGGACTTTTTGTCTACCCATAACTTGTTGTACACATTCTGTTAATTTAATGAATCTTTTCTGTGTTGCTGATAAAAAAGGGATAGAAGCAGGCATTCTCTGCTATCTGCAATGGTTGAAGGGAAGGCAAACAATCAGGTTGGGGAGGGAGGGAGGGAAGGAGGTTGAAGATGAGGGTGATTTCAGTATTAAAACTAAAATTAATGAAACAAAGCTGTTTTGGTGGATGTGGGATTGCGGGGTTGGTGGAAAATAGTGATTGTAGGTCCCCAAAAAGTTGTGATGAAGGTGGGGTGCACCCAAGGTTCAAAATATCGATACGCCTGATACGCCGGTAGGGGCGTATCAGGTGTTTTGATACCTTTTTTTTTACATTTTTTTTACATTTTTTTTTATTTTTTTTCAAAACCGGTCAGATCCCCGATACACCCACTGTAGGGGCATATCAGAGGGGTCCTAGAACGATACATATTGGCCGATACGTGCCAATACGAGTCGATAGTTTGAACCTTGGGTGAACCCAGAGTCAGATAAGGAGGAGAGGCTTTTCACTTCTTCTTTAGTGGATAGGGGGGATGGTGGGGGGAGAATTAATGAAGGACACGTGGAAGATCATGGGGAGAAGGGTTTGGGTTTTGTTAGGGGAGAGGAAGAGTCTTTTGTTTGGAAAAATGCGGAGAAACCTTGGGCTGGAAGTGTGTTTTAAATTCGAGTAGTACCATTTCACAAAGCCCAAGTTTTTTATAGTAGGAACTGTAATCTCTTGGATTGTTTGAGGGTGAATAAAAAGGAGCTCTTTTATTCGTAAGCATCCAAAAGTGAAAATCTGTGGAACCTTGAGCTCTTTTCTTATGGGAAAGGATGAAAAGGGGAAGGAAGAAGGATGGGAATGGGTGACCTCCAGGTAAAACAGAAGCAAGAAGGTTAAAGCGAAGAGTGCTGAATGTGATGCTGATTGAAGAGATATCTTTGTCGATTGTGCCTCGGTCTTCTGTGATTGTAGCAAAGACTTTTCCGGTTTGATTTTTGGAGCGGTGAGTCAAGAGGTGGTTGATGCTGTAAGCTTGGAATGATTTCTCTACTGCTGAGGAAGGAAAAGACGTTTTTGGGGATAGGACGAAGGAAGCTGGAATAGGGGCAGACAATGTTGAACCTGAAAAGATTGAAGGTGATGGTGAAGGTGGGTTTGAAGACAATGGCGGGGTTGGTTGTGATTCTTCCCGGGTGGAGCGCTCAGTTGTTAATAGCAACTTTTGAGGAAGTGGTGGTAGGAAAGTTAGGCGTGGATTTAGGAAGGAGGGCGGCGGAGGTTGATACGGACACATTTGTTGAAGTGGCTCCTAAGAAATCTTTTGGATTTTGGAATATACACATTACTCACATTACCAAGGTATTTTCTCGACTGAATCTTGGTTTGGTTAGGGTAGGACCTACAAAAAATTACAAAAGGTTTATATAAGGAGAGGGGGGGGGGGAATAGTGCCAACAATCAAAGAGGCTGGGATGTGTTCTTTTCTATTTTAAATGGTAGTGTAATACTACCAACTAGGCTATTGGTTGTTCTGCAGTACATGAACTCTGTGTGTCTTGGAAAGTTTGTCGAGTTGACTTTCTATTTGTGCACAACTTTCATTATGATTGTATATCAAAACCACTTTGAGTTGTCTACCTTTGTCCACGTACATGGCATCAGATGTTCGTGGTATGAAACACAGGAACTCATATGCTTTTGAATTTGTTCATTTGACTCGGGCTGAGCTTTCACATCTTAAACGATTTGTATTGCACAACTTTATTAGCAAATTATATGAAACTGAAAAGTACATATACAAAGCAATAGGATTTAGCGATTCAATATGGTCTGTGTTCTCACCAATCTTACAATGAAAAGCAAAACAGCCTCATCTGGAAGGTTGGTGCTGAATAAATCTCTTTCCTTTCAACACCCTTCCTAGTCAACTGCCATCAAATCAACAGGTGAATTGGCTGATCTATGTCTTCAATGGGATGAGATGTGCAAACTTTCAGCAAGTGATCTAGACTCCTTTATGCAGTGATTCAGCATTCTTGGACCCTCATCACTATTGCACTTACACATCCATCATATAACCACCTATCAATCTCCCTCCATCTCCACCAACAGGTATCCTAGTGAATGCATCAATATTGGATTTTCTTGATACTGAAATTCCACTTGCATGATTTCCCAGTCAATTTCTATTCAAAGACCATGTCCATTGCTTTAAGTTAGAGACAACCACTATTGTGTATTTATATTTGGCATATTAAAGTTCTCCTTTTGTTTTTCTAAATAATGAGTTAATATGTTTTGGTAATTGATGCTTTCCAGGCTTGAACATTCTACTGCAAACCTAGCTGAATCTATTCAGCAGACTGGTCTACCTGCAACAGCTGGTTCTGTTGCCCCATCTCTGCTGGAGGTGTGTATGCCACTCTATTAAGTTTAATCCCCCTTTTAATGTTCCATAACTACTAACTTTCCACTTTTATGTAACAGACTGGAAGGTCTTTTACAGCAAAAGGAATGGAGGTACTTGAGCGTGTGGGCAAAGAAACCATGGAACTACTGATTACAGAGACTGGTATTGAAATTGAGAAGAATCCCGAGGAACATGAGGAACAAAATGATGAGGAACAACTTTCTGAGGAAGTAACATTTGACCGATGCTTCTACATTTATGGAGGTCCTGAACAGTTGGAGGTAATTTTCTTATCTTTTTTCTAGTGTTATATTTTTACTTCCTATGTCTTATTTTATGATTTTACTAGTGACTAAACTTTGTTTGGCATCAGGAATTGGAGGCATTGTCTAACCACTATGCATTGTTATTTAACCGGAGAAAAGCAAAATTATCATCAGAAGAGAAGTCCATCTATGAAGAAAAACTCAAACAAGTTCAGCAAAATTTTAGTTTGAGCTCTGAACTTGATGGAGGTGTAGAATCAGACAAAGGAAAGAAAATCAAGGCCACAGGGGAGGGAAGTGTTGATGAGATGAAAAACTTGCGTGATTCAAGTGTCAGCAAAGCTGCTGATATAGCTGCAGGGTAGTAATATTCGTATGCTCCTTAAAGTTTGGAACTCTACATTCTCAGAAATATTGCTGCAATTGGTGTTTAAAATGTGTCTGTAGTGCATCATGAAGTCTCTGTTTCTCTTTAAAGTTGGTGATTCTTGTTATTACATGGTCTGAATTATGGGCTTTGATCACTGTAAATGGATTGGATTTTCTTCCCATCTTTTGAAATGTTGCATGCAGTTTAAATAGAATGTATGGACAATTAATGGCTATATCATGACCAACTGGTTTGGTTAATCAAATAGATCTGATGTCTATAAAACCAGTCAGTTGGCATCTCCTACCCCCCACCCCAAGGAAAGTAACTGTAACAACAACTACAACAACAATTGCTCTCCAGGGTTGTTGGTTTCTGACATGATTTTAAATGATACATTAAAGTTAAATATTTTAAAAAATGACAAGATAATTCCTTCTAGGTGTATTCCTCCTTGTCCATATTTATTTATTTATCAAAAACTAGGCTTGTTAAATACTGCCCTTTGATGTGCTGATCCCTTGACCCTTAGAAACTTTACCAATAATAGAAGCGGTGAACCACTTGTAGGGAAGAAGTAACGCCACTAGCAAGTTCGAGAGATTTTGAAGACCTTGAGGTGGCAGGTCCTCAGTGTGCAGCTACTGCCGTGAACCAGGTTAGTACTGGGGTTAGGGGCAGAAAAGGGGGAGGGGGGTTGATTTTGAATTCGAAGGAAGGTATAGGAGTAAGGAGGGCTGAGGAGGATTTAGAGGGAGTGAAGGGAAAGGGGGTGGGTAAAACTTCGGCATGGGTTAATTCCAAGCTGGTAGGTTTAAGAAAATTTCTGTGGGTTTCAATCGAAGGCCTGGAAGAAGAAACAATAAGGTATCTAGAAAATATGGAGAAAAGATGGTTAGCAGAGAAGGAGAAATCAAAAGGAAAGAAAGGGAATTAGGGTGGAAAGAAAAGTAGAGAAATGCTTCGGCTTGCCTGGAGCTTAAATGATAAAACAGGGAAGGGGGAAGGGTCGTCTAGGGGTGGAGGGGGGAAAAAGCTATAAGGGTCGGGGGCTGGCTGTATTCCGTTTTGTTTTTAGATGGATCTGAAAATTATGTTGTTGAATGTTAGGGGGCTGGGGTCTGGTAGGAGAAGGCTGGTGATCTTTAACTTGATCAGAAGTTGGGAGTCAGATATAGTGTTCCTTCAGGAAACAAAACTGGAGGTGGTTGATACAAATTTAATCAGAAGTGTTTGGGGTCAAGGTCAAGTGAGGTGGGTGTCTAAACCAGCTAGAGGGACTGAGGGGGTCTGTTAATCCTTTGGAATCCGTTAAAATGCAAACTGGTATCGTCTCAGGTTGGGGATTTCTCACTCTCGGTGGTGTTGGAGTTTGAGGGGGGCTTTTAGGGTCAGTTTACTAATGTCTATGGTCCAACTATGAACTCAAAAAAAGAGAGATTGTGGGAGGACTTGTTGACAACCAGGGGGGGATCTTCTTTACCATGGGCGGTTGGAGGGGACTTTAATGTGGTGAGATTTTTGGAGGATAAGAAGGGAGGAAACCGTAGGTCGAGGGACATGAGGAGATTTACAGATTTTGTCAATCAATTTGAACTCATTGATCTCCTGCTTGTAGGAGCCTAATTTACTTGGACAAACAATCAGGAGAATCCAGTTTTAAAAAAGTTGTATAGATTTTTGATTTCTTCTGGATGGGAGGAGGCCTGTCAACATCTAAAACAGGTTGCCCTTCCTAGGCCAGTTTCTGACCATTCTCCTATACAGATCGCATGTGTGAGTTCAAAAGACAAGGAAAGCTCCTTTTAAGCTTGAAAATGCTTGGTTTGAAGAAGAGGGGTTGATCCAGTTGCTTATGTCCAAGTGGTCAGAAATTCAAATTGAAGGAACAAGCTCTTTCATTTTTGCAAAAAAAACTCAGCCTCATAGATTTTCTGAAATCATGGAAACAGGATTCCAAAAATGAGATGGAACTTGAAAAGAGGTTGTGTTTAGAGACTATCAAAGAAGTGGGTTTAGTGTAAGAGGGGGGGGGGGTCCTTTGTCAGAAGGGGATAGAAAAAAGAGGGCAGAAGCTAAACTGAAGTTAGATAAACTAGCCTATAAAGATGAACTGAGATGGAGGCAAAGAGCTAAGGTAAAGTGGCTAAGAGAGGGAGATAGAAACTCTAGCTACTTCCACAAAATGGAAAATGCAAGACAAAGAATCAATTAGTTGGAGAGATTGGAATTAGATGGGGAGGTGGGAGAAACTTGGACAGACATGAAAAGAATTGCCACAAGATATTTGTCAGACCTGTTTGAAGAAAACTGGAAAAGAAGACCTCTTCCAAGCAATCTGACTTTTAGAAGACTCTCAGAGGCTCAACAAAGGGAACTAGAAGCCCCCTTTTCAGAGGAGGAAGTGTGGCAAGTGATAAAAAATATGGAAGTGGACAAATCTCCAGGGCCGGATGGCTTAATGTGCTTATTCTACAAGAAGTGTTGACAAATCTTCAGGATTTTCATCACAATGCTGCACTGGAGAGAAGTCTGAATGCAACCTTTATCTCTCTAACTCCCAAGGTAGAGGGAGCAACAAAGATTAAGGACTTTTGACCAATTAGTCTATTGAACAGATGCTACAAGATCTTGGCCAAGGTCCTGGATGAAAGACTCAAGAAAGTTATTGACTCAGTAACTTAAGAAAGTTATTGCTTTTGTGCCTGGCAAATGCTAGACAGTGTTCTGGTTGCCAATGAACTGATAGACTCAAGGAAGAGGGAGGGCAGGCCTGGGTTACTTTGTAAGCTAGACTTGGGGAAAGTCTATGACCATGTGAACTGGTAAGGGTTGGACTTTGTTTTGAAAAGTATGAACTTTGGTCAGAAATGGAGAAATTAGATGAAGATCTGCATCACTTCCCCAAAATTTTCAGTTTTAGTGAATGGTCAATCAGCAGGTTTCTTCAAAAATTCCAGAGGCCTTAGACAAGGGGACCCCCTTTCACCACTTTTAGTGAATGGATATCTTGACTATGTTTTTGAACAAAGTGGGGGAATTGGGCTTGTGGAAAGGTTTTGAAGCTTGTCCGGGGGGGGGGGTGGAAGTTCAGCTGCTCCAGTTTACAGATGACATTCTTTGCTTCATTGATGCGGATCTAGATCAACTTGGAAATTTATTAGGGGTTTTAAGCTGGTTTGAAGTGGTAACAGGGCTAAAAGTAAATTGGTCCAAGAATAGACTAATTCCAGTGGGCAGGATTGAGGATCTTGGTTCTCTAGCTGAGGTCCTGGCCTGTCAGATTTGCTTCTTGCCTACCATATATCTTGGCTTGCCTCTAGGAGCCAAGTGTACTTCCTCTTTGATTTGGGATCCAGTGGTGGAAAGACTGGAAAGAAAACTAGCTTCTTTGAAATCCAAATATTTAACTTTGGGAGGCAAGATCACTCTCCTCAATAGCTCTCTCAAACCTGCCCTCCTAGTTTCTTTCTCTCTTTCCTATTCCATCAAAGATAGCCAATAGGCTGGAAAAGATCCAGAGAAATTTTTTAGAAAAGAATGCACCTGGTCAATTGGGACCAAATTTGTTCTCCCAAAGGAAAAGGGGGTCTGGGGATTAGAAAACTGAAGATATTTAATGAAGCACTCCTTGGTAAATGGATCTGGAGGTTCGGAACAGAGAGGGAGAGTTGGTGGAGGAGGCTGATAGCAGCTAAATATGGTACAGACAGAGGTGATTGGACAATCAGACCTAGTAGTAACTCCCTAGAGTGCTCTCTGTGGAAGAAGATCATGGAGTTGTACCCTCTGCTGAATAGGGGTCTGCTTCAGAAGGTGGGAAATGGTCAGCACATAAATTTCTGGAAGGATATTTGGTGGGCAGAAAGGCCTTTGGCATAGCTGTTTCCTCAGCTATTTGGCTTGGCTGATAACCAAGATGCACTGGTGGCTGAATGTTATGGAGTTTCAAACAATTCCATAATCTGGAGTCCCTCATTTAGAAGAAACTTTTAGGATTGGGAAATTAATCAAGGGAGCTATTTGAGCAGCTATCAAATCAGAACATAAACCTATTGGAAGATTCATCAAAAAAACATAAACCTATTGGAAGATGACAGATGGAGTTGGATTTGGAGTGCAGGCGGTCTCTTTTCTGTGAGGACCTTTGCCAAAGTTTTGGAAGGTCATGACAGACCTGGTTTTCCAGTTAGTATTTGGGATGCTGCTCTGGATAGGTGCCTCACCAAGAAAAGCCTGCTGAGGAGAGGAATGCAGCTTCAGGACCTGAGCTATGTGTTTATGTGATCAACAGGAAGAGGATAACAATCACTTGTTCCTCCACTGTTTTGTTTCAATGTCTTTATGGAATTACTATCTTTCCGCGGTAGGAGTGCCCTGGGTCATGCCAAAGTCTGCTGAATCTGATGTTGTGCTGGGATTGTTTAAGGCTTTCCAAATTGGCCAAAAGTGTTTGGAGATCAATTCCTGCAGCAGTGGTTAGTACCATATGGGAAGAGAGAAACAACAGAGTATTCCAGAACAAGGCCAAAAGAACAGAGCCTCATCTCCAAACTAGGGAGTTTGGAGCCCAGCTGAATTCGAGAATTCTCTTTGAGCTGTAATGTATTCGGGTTCTTGGGCCAACCTTCTTTCCGGGGGTCTGTTTGTATCTTTCTCTATATTCTTAATAAAATTACCTTACCTTTTTCAAAAAAAAAAAACTTGTTGGGAACCTAGGAATCAGCACTTCAGCAGAATGATACAAAGAACTTTTCTTGCTGTGATTAACATGTGGCATCATTTTTATTCATATTTATTCTTTTTTATATTTCAACTGTAAGACAGTCCTAGTCAGGGTGGAATGGCAGAACAGTTTCATGTTAGTGGACCATAATAGTTGGGATGAGGCTTGGGTGACAAATGTGGTGATGTTTTGGCTATGCTGTTTAAGCTGATTGAATCCTTTGCTAATTGCTTTTTCCCCTTTATTGAAGTTCCTGAACCACCTCTATAATACCTACTCAATAAAATGAAATCGCATGCCGTGTCATGTTTGCTACTTTATTTTAACATTTAATTGTTTCCCTGGTTAAACTTCACCATCATGTGCTGTCTCTACTCCATTTCTTCTATCACTGCAATGTTTTGATTCTTATTTTCTGTGCCCTGTCTCTCATTATCATTTCCTGTGTTTGCAGTAGAGACTTCTGGCTTGAGTCTATACCTGTTCATGGGCCGGTCTGGGGCTTTGTCTCTGGATTAATTAGAATATGTTCAGGCATGAGCCCAAGCCTGGCCCGACCATCAGGCCTAGGTCTTGACCCCAAGCCCGGTCCTCATATGAAGCCCAAAGCCCAGGCCCAGCTCGAGCCTGACCAGAAATTTGAAAAAAAAAGGTTTCCTTTTTTTATTCAATAAAAAAGCTGTTTCATTTATATTAAAAGATCTCAAAACCCAAAAATAGTGAAAATCCTCACTATTACTTGAAAAAAGAGAAGAGGAACAAAGAAAAAACATATTATATACATTTTTTGTAATATAAAATATATTTTGTTATCATATAATATATTATCAACTCGGGCTCAGGTCGGGCCTTTTGGAGAAAGCCTGAGCCTGGCCCAAAAGAAGGTCGGGCCTGGTGTTTTGGGTCCAAGCCCGAGTCGGCAGGCCTAAAATGCATGTCCAGGCCTGACTTAGAATGGGCCAGGCTGGGCTGGTCTGTCGGGCTACCCGACCCATGAACAGGTCTACTTGAATCTCTGTTGGTTTGTTTGGCATAGACTGTCAAGTAGAAATTATAAGCTGTAAATTTAAAAACTTTTCAAAATTCAAAGAATCAGCTTCCACTTGGCATTTCTGATATCTTGTTACTTGATGGAAATACCTTTGTCTTTGACCTGGTTCTTATTTCCAATTTCCTATTTCATGCTTCAGCTTCAATTTATTTATTGGGGGTGTTTGGAAACTACATATAATGAAATTAGGGGTGCAACTCGGGTGGGCTCAGGTTGGGCACTTTTATCAAAATTTGAATGGGCCTGGCCCAAATGAAGTCCAAGCCTAGAGCAATGTAAAATGTTAAACTCAGGTCAACCCAAGTTGCACTACGGAGTGAAATGATTTCAATGTATTTTCATATGTATTTGGTGGTATAAAATCAGTAAATCACCATCTATAATGGACTTACTTCCAGTTTTTAAGAATGGGTAATGTTATCAATTAAGGTTTTCAAGAAGTGAAGTCATCGCCATTTTTTCTCCAACATCCATAGTTAATTTCATTCTAGATGAGGACATTATGGATTCAAATGCTATTGGATAAATGAAATAAAATGGTGTCATTTCATATGGCATTTCAAACACCTACCCTGTTAGTAGATGTGTTTTACTGAGGTCTTTTTTGTATATTACCTCATTGGTTCCTGCGTCAGTTCCTCTACCTCAGTACCATGATTACTTGAATACGGGATTAAGAGTTGTAGATGCTATGTATATCATCAGAACTTCATATCTTTGTGACTTTACAGGTTTACAACAACCCTAACGGGGCTTTCTGCAAATGAGATAATTCAACGGACAACTGGTAGACTTGAAAGCATTCACTCAGAGGGTGTACATGTATGAATTGTTAAACTATTTTGCAATTAGATTGGTTTTTGCCTTGTTTGGTACTTGACTTTACAATTGTCATACAGAGGCTCTCCGAACTATGTTGCTTTGCAGTCTCTCAACTTCTTATACTGGGAAAATCTGTTATCTCCAATTCAAACAAAGCACAAAGCGAAGATCCGGATCAGGAAACCATGAATATTGACTGGCCTGAGGATTCTGTTGAAAAATCAAGGATAATCAGATTCAAAGCACAATCAATGATAGGAGATGTGGAAGCAGTTTCTGATAGTTTCATTACAGGTTTATTATAGCATCCTGCCTCTTAATCATGATATAAAGTTTGCTTGACAGACTGGTCTTCTTTCATTTTGATATGAAAATTATTGGCTTAGCCTTTCTAACTATAATATCTGACATTAGTTTATAACTACTAATGGATAAAACCAATCAAACTGGTGATGTCTGTCAAAAGTGTTTGACGTTGAAATAATGCATCCAGTTAATGTCGAGGACTTCATATTTCTTCTTGACCACTTAAGTTTGAGGTTCAATTGCAAAAGTTTTAATTTACCATATTGTATCTTGAACCACATTAACAATCGGGAGGACTAAGCCACGTGACAACCACAGGTAGTGTTGTCTTGAGTTTTCAGGTTTCCACATGGACATGACATGTGGATGGAGGGCATAGGAATAATAGTATTTAATTACATTAATAATTCGCAGATATGTGAAAACAATAATATCAAAGTGTGAACTGTTGGTTGGATGTGTCATTTGTCAGGATATCTATCAATGTGTCTTGTTTTAATTGATCACAATTTAGCATATGTTACATAAAGTTCTTTGATTTACCATCACCAAAAAGAGAAACCCCACTCTTATAAAGGAATGTTTGACGTGAAGATTTTCACCATAAAAAGGATTAGTTGATTACATGTTTGGCTTATTGTAAACATGTCGTTATTGTATATCTAGTATTCTAAATATTTCTGTTCCATCATTCAGGTATCTCGGATGTGGTTGAAGCCTATCTAGCTGCCATAAAAGGTGCTGCAGATGTCCACGGGGGTCTTAAGCAAACTTCCATCCAGGAAAAGGCAAATGCCATCACTGATCATCTCCGTTCTGACCGGGTCACAGCCATAGACAAGATCCAGGATGGTCTCCAGTACTTAGCATTTATAGTTGTTTCCACTTCAATGCCCACAGCATGAGACTGTAATTCTTTTTTCCATTAACTATTTAGATTTGTAAATAATCTCTCACAATTGGGTTGAGATCAGGCGTTTACTAGTGTTTCATTGCCTTTAAATTGAATGTTCCAGCCCATTTTACCAATCAAATATACAAGGTTTCATTGTTCTACGTAGTATGGTGGAGTCTTTAATGTGTCTACTTGTCAGCAGCCAGCCATTTGGTGGCGTCTTTTCTTTGCTCAAATGTGAGTAAACGCACAAGAGGCTGATTACCACCATATCAAGTATTTCCCTTACTGGTAGTCGTGTCAATGGACCGGGTTTGGGTTGGACCCGTCTGAGTCCCAATCAATTTGAATGGGTTTGATGGTCCAACAAGACATCGAATTGGACAGGATCGGAATGTCTGGTCCATTGACTGACCTATTTGCTGGTAAAATTGGAGTTCTGGATTGAGCTTATACGATTAAACTAAAGCCCGTTTGGGATGGCTTCAGTCAGTTCAGTGTTGATGAGCTGTGTTGAGTCGCTGACGAGCTGCTTTAAGGAATCTACGAAAACTAGTTTTAATGGAAAGTCTATTTTTCAGCTCATGCAAGTGTTTTTGGGCTTTTCGGGTTTCGGGTTTCGGGCTTACCTCGCAACGTTAGAAGCTGCTGTGTGAAAACTGAAAACCCTCCCAAACTGGCACTTTGTTGCAATAATGTGTAGTAGGTATCCATGTTGTGAACCTTCCAATGGTGGTGTGAATTTGAGCCAAGATATTTCATTCTCATAGCCGGGTTCTCTGCATTTGAGCCACCAACTTGTCCATCCAGAATCCAGATTGTCCCGTCCAGAAGTCAACCATTTTGTCCACTTTTGGGTGTTTTGTGGCTCAAAGCCTCAAAGTCGCTACAATTGAACGTTTATGTGTCACCTTCGTAACGTGGACAACTAAAATTTCAAGTGTAAAGACGTCAGATTATCATTTATCAAACTTGTAGGACATTATATGTTATTCGTATGTCAAAATTCTTGAGCTCTAAATCCAAAGGCACACAGTATATCTGTATATGTAATATGCTATCTCCAACTCGCCTTGTCTCAACTATTTCTCCACCGTACCTTGTTTGTAAAATGCAATGGAAGATGCCAGTCTGGTTGGTGTCTTACATCTCCTAGTCCCAGGAAGAAGACTAGAAGGTGTCCTCTTTCCCTTCTTTTGTAGTAGAAAATAGGAAGAGGGGCTCAGAGAATAGAGCTAAAAAGGACTAAAGTTCAGCTAAAAACGTCCTAGGACCATGATGAGCCCTGGTTCTTCTTACTTCACCATGTGATCCGAATTCTGGAAAGGGTGGATGTATATTGACAAATCCTGATTACAAGATGATGCAATGGGATTCGATCTCGAATAAACCTTGCAAGTTGCAATTGAACTGAAGTCGCTATTAATGCTTGGAGAGACAATTCAACTGAAAAATCAAAATTTGCAGGTGTCACGGGAGATGGGAGGGACGATTAGCTGTTATAATATTGCTAATGTCAGACATTGCAATGAAGAGATTCATGGATTTCGGTCTCTCCTCCATGTGTTACTGAGTTTTAGGGCCTTGAATTTGGTCATTATGTCTACGGGGTGGCCGTGCAGCAATCCATCGATGGTTAGTTAATCGTAGTCATGCCGGTGGACGGATTGAACTTTTCAACCGTTTGGACTTTTGGTGTGGTTGGGGTGTCAAAGTTGAGAAGAAAGCGCTTTTGGCTTCAGGGTTCATCATTTCATTCATTCATTCATTCCCATCTGACGAATTTGTTCATGATTCTTTTTTGTGCTTCAAATTTTAAAAATTTCTCCCCATTAGGGCATTTGGTATCGTTAACGCTGAAAAGTAGTAAGAAAAAAAAAACAAGACTATTTTCACTAATTTTTGTCGTAAACTTGAAGCTTTAAGAAACCTTATCAAGGCAGAAGCAGAGAATTGCAGCAACCATGCAAAGTGATGACAGAGTGGGTCATATCAGCTGTTTGTTGAGAAGGAGGGGTATTTGTTGTCTTATGATGTTGTCGTATCAAGAGGAAACCCAGACAAAATTCTATCCGTAACTCCTCATGGATGGTACATCAAACCCTGGGTGCAACTGTGATTCCTGTTGGGCTACAAGGACGTATCATTCTTTTCTTGTTTCCACCAGCTACCAGCAGCCAGCAGGTTTGGGATTTCAGATTTGGCGGTGTTGGACTGACGGGAGAGGATCTTTTTGAAATAGGAACAACTCATCCTAATTCATTTGGCTTTGGCTGTGGGAAAAGGGAAGTGGGAAGAACTTGATCAATTCAACCCTTTTTTTTTTTTTTAATTTCTTACGCAGCAAAGCCCAACTTCACCTTCTTTTTTAAGCCTCTGCAAATCTACTTGACGAGACCCATATCATATTGCACCCATTTTGGCTTTTGATTGTGGGACCTTTCTAAAGGTGGTCTGGTCTCATCCCATTCCTCTATTATCCTAGGTCAAGACTCAACTGTTATTTTTTACCCGGTCGTCTATTATATTAAATACAAAAAAAAAGAGGACAGTAGAAGAGAAAGAAAAACAGCATTTTTACCTGATCTATAGCCGTAGTTCAAGCTTTTGCCTGCTCATATTTGTTTTGTTATGGTTTGTTTAGGTGGGCGAGCCAGTGAACCATTTTTTGAGAATGTCAAGCCAATTTCAACCAGAACCAGCAATTAACTCCAAAACATCCAATCAATCTTTTGGATTCGTTTTTTCTTTTTTCTTTTTGTTTATTTATTTGAGAAAAAACTTAATTTTAAAGAAAAATTTTCGATCAGTATCCTGTATTTTGGTTCGAACGATAATTTAATTTCTAAATTTTAAAATGCGACAGTCCAATATCTGAATAACAAGTGTTATAAGCATTTGAAGTTTAAATTAATAAGAAAGAAGGGAGAAACCATAACCTGTGTATCACATTGCTATTACATAAAATTGTAAATCCTAACCCTCGAATATATTTTTATAGAAAAAGTGAAGCCTTCGGATATACGAATTGCACATTAGTTTTAGTAAAAGCGAATATATGAATAGGAGTTGGAGTGATATTTGAACATCCGGTGGTGGCAGAAATGAAATTGCAGGGAGGAAAGAGAGAGAGAGAGAGAGTGGAGCAAGAAGGGTCGGTATTGGTTGTGGCGTTGGGGGTGGAGAGAGAGAGAAAGCGACGTGAGAGACGTTGGGATAGCAGGTAGAGCCGCGCGTGCCAGGCGAATCCCAGTAAAAATATACAAGAGGACCGGTGACTGACCGACACGCGTCGCTGCTCCCTTAATCAGCCCCAAGAGCTGCGGCCCTTGCCCGGCGGGTCAGGACTAGTCAGGGTCAGTTGGACAGCTGCTGCTGGACACTGCACCTACTAGCTACCTGCCCCTTTCACACACACTCGCTCCTTCTCTCTCCTCTCTCTCTCTCTTATAAGTTTTATAAGAGAGGAGAATAGAAAGAGAGAAAGAAGCCGGGGGGAAGGGGGAAGCCGAGAAGGTAAGAAGAGTATAAACCAAATTTTGCTGTGATATTTACTTGAGACTTGATGAGAGTTAAGATAAGAGGGGGTATTCGCCTACTGCGTACGGAACAGGCTAATCCTGTTTCGCTTTCTCTATATATCTCTGCAGTGTGTGTATACTAGTCATACTCACTAGTGTCTAGTGTCTAGTAGTGTCCCACTCCCACCAGAGATCACGGCGACCGAGAAATCCGGCAAAAACAACGTACGAATTAGATAGAGATAGAGAGAAGAAGGGAATCTGATGCGGACTGAAGGGGCGAAGTTCGCCACTCGGCAGGGCAACCCAATTATTGCTCCCACGCTGCCCGACATCAATGATGCTGTCGGTCCTTCCCTCCTCCAGTCCTCCCTCCCTCTCTCCCTACTACCACACCCACAGTCACCCTGACGGTTAGCCGATTCAATCACTCGCTCCTCCACTCCCATCCATCCGGGTTTATCTTCTCGAACCTCCCCATTCCCCAATCCATCCAAAATACCATAATACCCCTCCTCTTTTTAACTTCTCCTCACTAATTAATTACACAAATTATACCCACTGGTTAATCAGAACATAATCAAATTGCAGTATCAATGTTTGATTGCATTGACACTTTGACGGGAGATTTTTAGAATCGGTTAGTCGGAATTGGAATTGAAATTTAAATTCTTTGGAATTAGAATTAGAATGATCTATTTTCATAATTTGTTTGGTTCAGACACAATTAGAATTAGAAGGAATAAGATTTTATTGACAAGGGGGAGAGAATAACTATTTAATCAGTGTAAAATGTTAAGATGGGAACGTGAATGAAAATTGGAATTAGAAGGAATAAGATCTTATAGGGCGAGAGAATAACTATTTAATTAGTATAAAATGCCAATGGTATAAAAATACACCGATGACATTTTACATTGAATCATGAACGTGGCCATTGCTTTTTAAAAATAGCATGGATGGAAGAGTGTTTTAGAGCTGATGAGGTTTTACATTAATTATTGACGTAAAATTTTACTCCATCCAAATACATGCAAAACTAAAACGGAGTGAATTTTTACGTCGATAATAATTATACTCTTTTTTCAAACACCTACAAAATCAAACCGAATTTTTACATTGGTTCTTGATTTATATCGCATTCAAATACAGTCTTAAGGTTTTGTTTGGATCCGATGTAAAACATCATCGGTGTAAAAACAATGTAAAATTTTACATCGATTTTATCAATATTCCTAATACACGATAGGATAGGACTGTGAGGTATAAATGTAAAGGGAGATATTCTTAACATAACTGTGAAGAAGGGAACATCTCTTCCTATCACAGCCCCTTATCCTTGGAATAAAAGGGAATATCTCTTCCTATCACAGCCCCTTATCCTTAGAATAAGGGCATAAAATGTTCTCCCATGTGTGACTGTGATCTCATGTGAGTAGGTGTACATAGAGTTGCGGTAGGTTGAAGATCCGCATGAATCGGAATCTATTCCTCACAAAGCGCACCTGACAAGAACGTCACAGCCCCTCACATCTCGGGAGATGTTCTTAATACACGATGGGATAGGGCTGTGAGAGGAGATCCGAACATGGGAGGGGCATTTTCGATATTCAATACAAGGCTGAAGACTCACACACTCACAGTAGCGAAGCTGAGCGGCTGAGGCTGACGCTGAGTAGTAGAACGAAACTAATGCATGCCAAAAATGAGGTTGTCAGGTAGCGCGGTGAAGCAGAAGTGAGAGAGGGCCAGAGGGCTGTAAAGTTGTTCCCGGTTTCGAGTCCCCCGATGCGTATTGTTTGTTTTGTATATCATATTATCTGATTTCTGAAAGAATATGTTCATCAATAGAATGTCTGCTCCCTCTCTCTCTCTTCCCCCTCTCCTTCTCTCTCCATAAAACCCCTCCCTAATCCCCACTTCTCTAACCCTCCTCTCTCTCTCTCAACTCCATCTCCCGACCTCATTCTCTGCTTTCTATTCTCTCTCTCTCTCTCTCTCTCTCTCATATACATAGTTAGTTACATACTCAACTCGTAAAACTTTCTATCACACAAGCACCGATAGAGACGGCGGAGGCAAAAATAATGCCATCAGAATCCGGCGATCGACGACAGGCGAAACCTCAACACATGGGTGCTCCACCGCCTGAACACGAGCATCTTCCATGCCCACGCTGCGACTCTACCAACACCAAGTTCTGCTACTACAACAACTACAACCTGTCGCAGCCCCGTCACTTCTGCAAGTCCTGCCGCCGTTACTGGACCCAGGGCGGCACCCTCCGTAACATCCCCGTCGGTGGTGGTAGCCGCAAGAACGCTAAACGCTCTCGCACCTCCTCTTCTTCCGTCGCTCCCCACGACCCCATTCCTGCAAACCCCGTTTCGGTCTCCCTCCCCGCTGATCCCGAGCTGTCGTTACCTACACGTAGTGACCTAAGCCTCGACGTCAACATGTCCGGCAGCTTTACTTCTTTGCTGAACACGCAGGGCCCAGGATTCTTGGCACTCGGAGGGTTCGGGCTAGGCCTCAGCTCTGGGTTTGACGATCTGGGTTTTGGGCTGGGTCGTGGCACCTGGCCCTTGACGGAGGCTGCCGATGTTGGTTGCGGGGCTAGCGCCACGGGTGGTGGTCTTAACAGCTGGTCTCTTGGTACAAATGAAGGTGGCTTCGTAGAAGGTGATTGCTTTGCTTGGCCGGACCTCGCCATATCTATGCCGGGAAAAGGTCTGAAGTGATTCTTCCGTCCTGTTGTTGGGTCTTCTTTTTTATCATTTCCCTCGTTTCATTTAAGAGAGTAGAAATGTGTCGAACATGATGGTTTCAGGTATTTACCTTTTCGGGGTCTTTGCTTGATGGATATATAGAGTATAGACTACAGATAGACAGAGCAAATCAGAAATGAGTGTACGTATTAGGATGATTTTTACTTCCTTTTTTGTGGATTTCAGGGTCAGGTTATTGATATTAGTTTTTCTTTCTTTTTCTTCTGGAGGGTTCTGTAAATGCTTGGTTCTGCATTGAACAAATTGGTGAAAAGAAGATACGATCGAAGAAGAGCAGATTGTTTCTACTTTTCACTTTTAGGACGTTTTTTTTTGTTTCTCGTTGCGAACTCTACTGCGTTGAAGTTTCAATCAATGCACTTGGTTTGATTTTTAAATTTCTAATGTTCTTTTTTTTTTTCCTTTGTCCAGTCTTCCTTCCTCCTCCCTCCTTCCTCGTTCACTGTAACTCCTCAGTCTCAGAGCCTCTGTTTCGATTCGAATCTTGTTTCCGTCGGCTGATTTGATATTTGAATTATTTTAATCAACTAAAAGTTAAATTGGCTTTGTCAATCGTGCATTAGGTAGTGGGGGTGGGGTGGTGGTAGTGAGTACGTCGGCGAGAGAATGGACAGTGCATGATTCTTTTAACTGTACGAGTGTCTTGAATTGAAAAGCTCCAAAATGAGGAAGCAACGTACGGTTGATCATGCAGCGTCTCGCTCCATATTGCTCTGCCTTGATCTCTGGGATATTTGGGCTGAGTTGGGTACATGTGCTCTGCCCCCTCTACTCTCTGTCCGTCCGTCCTTGGACTTGTGAGGCTGAGAGCAGCACGCCCATGGCCATGGTCACCGATGTCCTGACCCCTCTGGATTGTTTGCTCTTACCCGCCCAGACGCCCATGGCTCATGGCTGCAGTGGCCTGTGCAAACCTGGAAAACACCCATCGGCCATCAAATGACAATGAGGTGGGTCATGGGTGAGAGCTCATCACTAGCTAGCTTGGTAGCTCCCAAGTCCAACTCTCTAACCGCAGAACTCGTAATGGGAAGCTGGCTGCATTGAAAATTTAGGAAATTAGCACATGGGTCGGCAGCTTCATAGGTCCCAGTCCCACCAAAGAGATCTCAAACAAGATTGGATGCATCTTCTATTAGCAGACTAGAGCTTATTATTTGATATACATCTTAGTATTATTTAAGACTAATCGATCTGTACGTGTAATACATGAAATCTGGGTTTGAAGAAAGACCACCAAAGTCTAGGTGTGGGACCTTTTGGAATGATGAGGTTGAGCGAGTGCCAATTCTCAATTGGTGCTGGTGGGTGGTGGCCCATAGAAAAGATTAAGCTGGGCTCCACACGGCAGTGTCACACGATTGTATGCTTTTGGCCAACGCCAAAGAAAAAGTCTTCCTTCTTGTTTGGTTTGGCAGCATTGGAGGAAATCAGCAATGTAGATAATAGAGATGGCACTCGCGTAAAAGGGGTATTTTGTGCACTTCTGCCTGCCTGTTTGGCTGAGTTTTTCAAGTGAAAGTTGAAAGATAAAAACATTCAAAGAATGACCGACACTAGCAGCCATTTGGTAACCACACATCTAAGGAAATATTATAAAGCATATCTCAAGGAATATTACTTGCAGTTGTTACTGCATTTGGTGGGTGAGGATCGTTATTTAGGCTTTTAGTTTGGAAACAGTACGAATACAGTATAAATATGCACTCTACATGTTTGTATTTATACCCCTTCCAAGTCTAATCATAAAAGATGAATATATGTTTTTGGTGAGAGAGCAAAGGTAGCTACGTGGAGTGACGGGTGTGACGTGAAAAGATAACAAACAGGGGAGAATCAGAAGATGAATTGAAATTATATATACATATATATATAAATAAGAAATATGGTGATGGATGAGTGATGACATGACATGTGATCATATATGTATATATATTATCAAGCAATGGAATGGACCCATCACCCAGTTGTGACCGCGCGTGATGACTGATGATAATGATCACCACCAACTTGTGCACATGCAACCCACCATCCACTCAAATCTCTGTGTTTATATGCATGTATGTGTTGCTCACGCCTTGGAATTTGCCACTTCATCAGTGGTTACTGGCTGCTGCAGTCGATATAAAGACAGCTTTGAAATCTCTCTCACTCGTCTACCGTAAGAAGAATTTCGTGGATTCATTTATATCCAAAGTATTTTTAGGGTAAATGTATTTATCAATGTTTTTATTTCTTAGCCGAAATTATTCATAAAACGGTTATTATTGAATGTAATAATATCGAAACACAAACATAAATTTCCTTATTTTCATGAAACCCATCAACTTATCTGCCCTAATTTACCAGAAAATGAACATCCGCTAAAATTTGAAAGCTAAGGACTTGGAATTAGGTCAGGGGCATTCATTTTTTTTTTTAATTTTGAGAGGGGGAATGGCAATAAATGATACCTATGTCGTAAGTTGATAAATAATTTTTCTACATGACACAAAAGTTGTCAACACTTGTATCGAATAAAATTCTCTTTTAGTAGTGGATTTTTATGGTTAAAATGGTCATTATAAGGGTATTTGGTTTTGTGGACGTTTATTCAATGAATGGTGTCACATAGGTGCCACTTTCAGCATTTTCTCTCATTTTTCTTTGTGCATCGAAAATGATAAAAGTGAACTTTTGTTTTTATGCGTGCCAACTATTTGTGGAACTTATATTTTAAAGCTTCCACAAATGGTCAGGTGTTTTTTACTGTTATGCTTGTGTGGAGCCTAATTGTCATAAATGGTTGTAATTATTGCATTTCTCACTTACCAGGATAAGTGCATTTACCCAGATAAATAACTTATCGAAAAGCGAATGGGACCTTAAAGGCCTTGTTCATTTGTAACAATGTAGCTTACCTAGGTAAATGCACTTACATTCTTTTGATTTTCAGGATTCCCGGGTAAATAAAGAAATGATATTTCTACCTACAAAAAATAACTATTAAAATGGTCCTATCATGTTTTGTAAAAATTTCTTCCGGCCGGGAAAGTTACTTATCCACTTAGAAGATGGGTTAAGTTTTACCCAAAAAAGTAAAGGTAACTTCACTTTGAGACCTATTGCTTAATGCAAAAAGAATATAAAAAAGTTGATCAATAGAAAAAAGTTATCCATCGACCAACTTTCACATGCATATTTTACCTACAAATGAATTTGATTAGGAGGTTGGATTAACAGAAAGGTGGGCCTGCTCAGGTCTTCTGGAGTAAACCACGTCCAATATCTTTAGTTGATAAGGCTGCAACCTAGCTTATTAATATTAGAAAAAAAGAAGAATGATGAAATGCGAACTAAAAAATTCGGACATATGGATACGAGTTACAAGTTACAAACCTACCAGTTGAAGCAAAATCGAACACATCTATTAAGCAGCAAAGCCCAGCCCAGCCCAGCCCAGGTAAGAGTCCAACCATAATAAAATAATGAGCACAACTTCCAAGCCAAACTAGCTAGGAAGTAGGAAACTTGGAAATGGATGAGTTGTTTATCCCGAGAATATTAAGATTAAGATTAATGGTTTCAAGGTTTCCCAAGGTCCTCGTAACCAACTAATAAATGTCATTAAAACCAAAGCAAGATAATTGACGGCATCCAAATCGCAAAGGAATAAAGAGGAGGGCTTTGAAACAAGTGCTTTAATAAAAACAAAAAACGATAATCAAGCGCATTAACAAACACAACCCAACAAAAGAATATAGTAATCAAGCTTGTGGATTGTTATGCCTATTATTATAAACATTATAATCAGGATGAGAATATAAGATAAATGTAGATAGAGAGGAAGTGGGAGAAAAAGAAACCCATCACATCAATCATGGGACGCACTATTGCTAGCTCGAGCTCTGTACCCATAAGCCAAGTTTAGTTATGTATAATCAAGAATTCGGGCCCACCATTTAATGGAACTGTGACGGGAGAATAGAAGCCAAATTGAGATTTGAGAAGAAGGGGAATTTCAGGAGAAAGCATCTGATGGACATGGACTACCTTGAGTCTTGAGTAAATAAATAAACAACCCTTTGGAATTTGGATACTGACACTGTCAAACACAGAGATGACAATGGCATATCCTGTAATCAGAGATGATGAGACGTATTGTTAGGTCTTAATAAAGATCTTTTTTTATTAGGGGCTTACAGCAGATAGTGCTTGCTGCTGGAGTGCTGGGCATCTTTATCCAGATTTCTCTCCTGAACCCATTTTCTACAAGTCCCTGCACAAATGGTGCTCATGAATTATCTCTGGTATGGGTGTCAATATATAATCTATTGATATTGATAGAAGATAAAAATAGTCCTAGTCAATCTATAATGAAACAATCTAAATTAAAATTAAAATCATAGTCCATTCCGAATTGGATTTGAAACAATCTAAATTAAAATCAATTTGAACATATTGGATGGTCCAATGTTGAATTAGACTAGTCCAAAATAGTCCACAATATTCATAGTCCTAGTCAATCTATAATGGAATCATATTGGAACGGATCGTATTGGACCAAATCCGGTTCAATTGACAACCCTAAGTCCCTGGTGTGAACACTCTCCGGTCTCAAGTCTCTATGTGCTTGTTCTTCTGTGAACGCATGTGGCTGCAGCAGTTTGGTGTAAATTGTTAGGTTGTGTCTTATTTTTTTAATGGGAAATTGAGAATTGCTGACTTTTAGGGCACAGAACCCCTAGTAGCGGTCTTGAGCCCTCAAAACTTACCACGTGACTGGTATTGAAAAAGATTAGGACCATAAATAGGAATGGTACCTCCTAATTTCACCGTTCACACCAAAAACCATTATGTCTTTCCCTATGAATCATGCATCATTTTTTTAGAGTTATTGAGTCATTCAGTTGAATTTTCACCATCATCCAAATCCTTTTTTTTTTTCGAAAACTCAAGAAGTTGGATGAAATTTTGACATGATCTTGCTCAGTCAATCCTAAAGCTGTAACCTATTGAATGGGGGATTCTGATCATTGAAATCAAGGCTAGATGGTGAGTTATGGGATATATGACCTTACGGGCCTGTGTCTAAGGGTCCAAACCCACACTCACTTCAATGGGTCTTAATGTGGGCCTACTGAGCTTGAGTATTTGAGAAGAAATATATCATTTATTTATTTAAAAAAAAAAAGGTGATGCCGGAAGATATCACACCGGAAAGTCTTTGACCAAATTCCACCGATGAATTGTGATGAGAACCACATAATTGTTTACCATTTTTATGATGCCAGTTGATTGATCATAAGTTTTTCAGATATCATGTCTTTCTTTATTTTGATAGATAAAACAAAGGGTCTACACCGAATGAGGGGTAGCACGTCCCTAGAAATCAAAACGGCTAATAACACTTAAAGAT